TTATAAGAATCTTATATAAGGCAGTCGATGGAAATGCGTAATTTATTGATAAGATTCTTATACGAAGGAATATAAGAATCTTATAAGATTCCGATAAGAATTCGGCAAGATAGGTTATATAATTATTTTGTAAGAGTTCATAAGATTCTGATAAGAATCTTATAGGAAGGATCTAGTACGATTTCATCACATTCTTTAATGGTCAGTACTCTATACTATATTCTATTTGGTGGGACAAAAGTTGATGATTCAAACCTCTGTAGTTTCCCTCTGTTTTTATTTTTGAATCATTTCAAAACTCGTTAATTAACGTTCTCATTGTCGGTGGCATTCATCGAAAAACGCGTTCCCTAACGCGTTGTGAAATTTCGAAAAAAGCATTTTCAAGCGAATAGATTAAAAGAAATGCGTTGGTTTTGAAATCTTTAACGTGTTTTTTAGTCGTTAAAAACGGAAAAAAACGCGTTTTTTTTACCCCTAGGATTTCTGTGAAACTGTATTACCAAACGGAACGAAAAAAGAAAATACAAGAAAATGGGAAAATATGAAACAAAATACCAGAATCGGTTGTTTTAAGGTCCGGCTATAAAATCGTCTTGACTAAAAAAAACCTTTGCAAAGGGTAGTTTCGTTTTTTGAAATTTTTCATGATGTAAGAAGTAAAGAGTAAGATTATTTTAGTTTTAAATGTCCCATGCAGATAATATGCACAATAACACTAGACAAGAAGATATAGATAAAATATGAAAAAAGACTGAAGATGTTTAGCCGCAAAATAATATGTCAAAATTCAGCCGAAGTAACCAAAATACTGAAAACTCTTAGGCATTACTACTGCTTCTAAAAATATTCAGACACTTTGACAAAAATAATATTAACTCCATCAGTACTTATCATACGACGATGCTGAGCAGACTTTTATAAACTAGACAAACTTCTGGGTACGCTTCTGAGCAAACGCTTCTAGATAGGTGAGCGTTACTAACTAAGAATACTGATACCCGCTTTTAATAACAGATCGGTAACCAGTTTGGAAAGAATAATATAAACATATTCAAATATATAGTCACATCAATATTTGTCACTGTTAGAATTTAGACGAACCTGCACATTCTTTTGTCACATTATTAAATCAAACAAAATTATAAGACGAGAAATACCAATATTTTAGAATAGCTTCCTATTATGACATTTCAATATAAATCTATGGCTTTATATGATTGTTTATACATACCGTTCGAAGAAAGATAGTGTTTCATCTTTTAACAAAAGATCATGTATATGACCACAGGCTATAGTCTTTCTTTGTATAAATCAGGTGATATTCATCCGTCAACAAATTACAGACCTCTCACTCTACTTTCTGCTGTTTCGAAAGTTTTTGAGCGACTCATCTTTAATCGTATTTTTCAATTTCTACTCACTAATCAACTTATAAATGTAAATCAATCAGGTTTTACGCCTAAACACTTAACAACAACTTAGATTATTGATATAGTTCATAATATTGTCTCAGTTTTCAATGAGGGAAATCCTGTTCTGGCTGTTTTTATTGATTTTTAAAAGGCCTTTGATCGGATCTCGCATGAGACGCTGTTGATAAAGTTGAATAGTAAAGGTTTACCTGCTATATTAATAGAATGGTTCACGAACTATCTTAGTTATAGAAAAATTATTGCAATGATTGATGATTTTTTTCTCAGGAGGCTAGTATAGGATGTGGGGTGATGCAAGGTTCAATATTAGGACCACTGTTATTATTACTATTTATTGACGATTTGCCTCAATCAACTACAGTGTCATCTAAGGTGTTTGCTGATGACGTTTCGTTGTATGTTGTTGCTTCTGATATGAAGCAAGTCCATGCTCAGGTAAACACTGATCTTGAGATTATCTTTAGCTGGTCGAAAGACTGGCTTTTGAATATCAATATTTCTAAGTCAAATGCCATGTTTTTTAGTTACTATAAGAGAAATCTTCTACCTGCATTAGTCTTAGATGGTTCTCTTCTAGTCTATCTTGACAAAGTATCTCATCTCGTTCTAGTAATAACTCCCAAGTTGTTGTTATTATTCTTACATTTGTTCAACTTCAGCCAACATCTAATGAGCCAGCTCGATTTGTTGGAAAATAAAAAAAGTTTAGGTTAGGTTAGATTGGACTTATCACATAGATACATTTTTGTTAAGTGTTCAAAAATTATAGGTACTATGAAATTAATGAGTCATGTAATATCTCGAGAAGCCTTATGCTTAGTGTACAATACCTTTGTTTTCTTCATAATTAATTATACCAGTGTCATTTATCCTGGTACCACATACACTAATTTGAGATGTATATCTACTATCCAGTATAATTCAGCCTTGCCAATTACTGGTAGAATGAGACTGTCTTCAACAACAAAAATGTTAACTGATGTTGGTTGGATTCCGATAGAAGAAACCTTCTTTATTCAATGACTTTGCTTATTTCATAAAATTAAGTTTGGCAAAGCATCCCTTTCTCTTCAGTCTTCATTCCAACTGATACTAACTCACATACTTAATTACTAGGAAGTAGGAGTACAGCTGCTCAACAAATTCAGCCAGCGCTGTGAACTGATGACATATGAAAACTTTTTCATCACAGCAACTTATTAGATGTGAAATCAGCTTCCTCTTGAACTTCGCTTGATAACAAATTATACTAGATTTAGGCTCAAATCGGAATTAAAAAAGACTGAAGTATATGGTGAAATTAAACATTGTATACCTAGATGTGAGGACAGAACTAACAAAATTCACTTCGTTCGTTTAAGAATTGGATTCTCACAATTGAATGTCGACTTATTTAGATATATACCCTTATTCCTAATCCATCATGCACATGCGGGTAGGACGAATCACAAAATCATTTTTTTCTGATCTGTAGGAAGTACCATAAGACTCGAAAGAAACTAATGAGTATTATTAATCCCATTTTGGACACACAGATTATTCTTTCTCTTGACTTTCTATTCTTTAGTTTTAGGAGCTTGTCTATTGAGTTTGAAAAAAGTAAAAGTATTGATTAGACTATCGTTGATTTCATTAAGAGTCTAACCGCCTTCAGGTATAAATGATGTTACTTCTCTTACGGAAAAATTCTTTATACCTCACTCACGCAGTCGTCACAGAAATCCTCCTCATTTCCTTCTTATCTCTGTAATCTATACTGCTTCCATCTGTTAAAATTTCATCATTTTGTTTCTTTTCTTTGTTGTCTCTTTCTCTTTCCCAGTGTCATGCAATGAGCACAGTCCGATTTGATTACTGCTTCTCCTATATACTTCTGTATTAAAGTTTAAACCAGTATAATCTTTTGATATTCACCTGTACTTTGTCTTTTTATTTTCTCAAATTCGTTTGTCTGCATAAACTAAGTACCAAAAGTAAGCGAAGAAAAAATAAGAATTTTTAAAAGATTAGTCAGACACAGATTGAGAGTAGCGTTTCAATTTGTAAGAAGAAACAAAAACAAGAGACAAAAACAAACGTTAACAACCACACAATAAACTTGACATAAATAAACAAAGACACTTGTCAAATATAATGAATAACAAACACATTTTGTTCTTTCTGGAAAATTTGCGCAAAATTCATTTAATGATAGAAGGACACGAAACTAACTTAACGAAATATACTAACATCTTTTAAAGCATGAGTTATAACTAATTCTTATCTCAATGTTGATTTCTATTCATAACGCAGTAATTAGTAACACATGAAATGGATCAACAAGAGAGACTAAAGTAAAAAATATTTAGTATGAAATAAGTCACTGTACAGAGGCATGAAAACACTAGTATAAATACACACACACAAACAGAGAAAACCGAAATTAAAATAAGAGGTGAGTTTGTAGTGGACACACACATATTGCTAAATACTGAATTAGACTAAATCCTCTCTATCTGTTTTAAAAATAAAGAACACGTTAAAAATAATTACGTAACAAACAAAGAAAAAGATCCGCACATCGTTTTTCAAGTTTTATTATTTTCTTGTACATACAAAAACAAAAATTTACATTTATAACGACGTGCACATGACTAAGAAAGACACTAGTAAACAAATAAAAACAAACAAATATTGTTATTTTTTAGAGTTATTAGTCAACACCATCAAAGGCTTCAGACATTTCCATTGCTTGTATTAATTTTTGACGTAGATCTCTATAATTGTCATACGGTGGCAAGTCTAGACGATTAAAACTAAAAGAAAATTGAAACAAAATATTTAATTTTAATTTAAAATTATAAATCAATCACATTTTGATACCATAAATAATAGTCACACACATATCTATGGGCAACCTAGTTTATAAATCTAATTATGTTACAATTATTCTGTTACATACCATGTATGTGCACGTGGCAATTTCGTTCTATCACCCCATTTTTCAATTGTGAATAATTGTGGACCAGATGAACCCCATAATTCTCTAAATCCATTCATTGGCAAACGTGATGTGCCAGTAACAAATTGCAGAAGACGTGTCTAAAGAACATTAAAAGTGTACACATTAAAATGAATTATTTCTGTCTTCAAGTCAAAACTGATAAAAGTACCAGATATTCTGAACTGTATTTCAACTTCTAAGTCTATTATTTTCAGTAGGTATAGATGAAAACTTACTCTTTCTTCCGTATTTAATGTCGAAACGGCCTAAAAATTGAAGCATGTAACGATCGATATATATATGTCAGTACTAAGCAATCTACCTGCCAAAACCATTGAATAACGGGATTTGCTGGTGTATAACCTCCCTTGTACATTGTATATGTCCTCCAATCATTAATATTTATTTCACCTAGTCCACTGATCAGTAACTAAAATAATACATGATATAGATGAACTACATACTTATGTATCTTAAATCAATCACCACCACATACTTCAACTTCTTTTTCATCAAACAGTTTGATTGTATCTAATGGCATAATATCCTGAAAGCCTTGCTTTAGCGCATTCATTTGTACTTCAACTCGTCTGACAAAACGATAATGAATAACAAGACTAAAAAAGAGAGAAGAAAATTGTTTCGATTTTTATTAATCATCTTCCTTTTTTCAATTAAAAATTACTCGATATAATCACGTTTATTTTCTTCTGTTACTTGTATATGTTGTCCATTTGGTTTTAATTCATGCTCACGAAACTACAATAGATATTCAACAATAAGTATATGCACAATTCAGAAAAGAAAACTTACATCGCCTAATATTTCTTCATTAACAACAAAATATAAATCTAAATCGCTTGGATCATTATCAACAATATATTTTAGTGATTGATAATATTCGCGATCAACAGTTTCCATATCTGTTAAATTAATGGGTTTACCCAATAGCATTTTATAAAATGGACGAATAAAAAATGCTAAATAAAAGAAAGCTGGTAAAATTTGTTTATTTAAAATTTTTTATAAATAATTACCTTCAAGTAGTTTTCCATGATAAACAGCCATACCCATGATTCTTCCAATAAAACGAAAATATTTGATATGATCTTCGTTTAATAAACCAGATGCCGAATTGACTTGTAACGTATAATTATCACTAGAGAAAAAGAAATGTCTATATTTGTATCCTTTTTTAATGTTTAAATGTTTACATAGCACTGTATTCAAATAATCCATAATAAGGATTAAACATTTCACGTGATAATAACAAAAACCATTCACGACTCAAACCACCATAATCCAGACCTCGTTCACCATCGAAAATAACCCATAATCTAAATTCAAGAAAAGTCTATTAGTTTCGAGAATGTTTAAATGTATAAGTTTAAAAAATTTCTTATAAAATACACACCTTGTTTTAAATACTTCAACATCTTTTACAATCATAATTGAACGAAATGATGTTTCTAATATTTCTTTACGACTAACATGAATTTCAAATTGACTACCCACATGACTCTACAAAAATAAAAAGGGATGGTTTATTAATGAAACAATAACTTGAGGATATCCATACTTTTGGTTTTGGTAAAATACGTTTTAATTGTCGATATTTTGATTCATAATCTCGTGAGTAAGGAACACTCTAAATTTTTGTATAAGAATTATTACACGTAGGCGCCAACCGAAGCTGCTCAAACAACTCTTGTGAAATGAAAATCTGTCCAAAAGACAAATATATTGATAAGTATTGACCAAAACCAAAGGATAAGAGTTTAAATTTTGGTTAAGGTATTCAAGTTTGACGAAAAGTCCTGCAAAATCAAAAATTGGAAAAAGACAGAAAAATGATCGAATTTCAACTCTCGCCGTTGTTTTGACACAACGACTCTGTGAAGTTATGCCAAGACATAACTATTGCTTTTTTCTACTTTCTGAATTCCACCAAAGTTTTAAATCAAAATTAGGTCGACTGTGAGAAAAGCGCAAAAACTTAGATGTAGCTGCCACTCAGAAGTCCTGCGATACTTATATATAAAAACATAAGGACTCGCTATTTTGTCATTTCGAAGTAAGCACTGTGTAATATTTAAAAATATAATAATATGTAAAACGCGCATTGCGAAATTTCTTCGATATTTCGATGGTGCCTATATACTCGGCTGACCGCAAAACAAGACGGTGAATGCCCCGAGGTAAAAAAGTTGAGAAAAAACGCGTTTTTATTCCGTTTTTGACGACCAAAAAACGCGTTAAATATTTCAAAACCAACGCTATTTTTTTGTCGTTTAAACGCGTTTTACTTTATCTATTCGTTTGAAAAGACGTTTTTCGGAATTTCGCAACGTATTATTTTTGCGTTAAAAACGTACAAAAAACGAGTTCTCAAACGCTCTAGAACGCGTTTCAGATGAAACATTTAACGCGTTTTTTGCTCGTTAAAAACGGAATAAAAACACGCGAGAACAGAAAATTTTGGTTAAGCCGAAGGTGAGATTTGTCTTACCCAGTGGGACTTGATCTAAAAATAATTGAACGTCTATAATAAAGAAAGCACAAAACTGATGATCTAACACTGAAAAAGAAGGAAAAGAAGATGATATTTCTTCGATATTTCGACTGCACTTATATACTCGGCTGACCGCAAAACAAGACGGTGAATATTTGTAAATCGAATATAGAACTGCTATGAATAACATGACTTTCAGTCTTGAAAATACTTTATTCGAGCTTTCGCCAGCTTTCAGTTGGCATCATCAGGAATGTAATAGACATTCGAACAAACG